AAAAAAAAAAAGGATCAGATCATTGGGAATATTGAGAAATGTTAGTTGGCTAATGCAAAATTTGTTGTGGATAAAGAATTTTTGGCTGTAAAAAATGAAAGATTTAAATTTGAACGCATTAAATTACGGTAGCGGGCGGTCTCATTTGGAAATTGAGTTTAAGTGTTTTCTGAAGAATGGTACAGATTTTTTGCTTTCATCCTAATTTTCAGTTTTGGTATATATCTTTTTGTGACTGCGGGGACCGGCGTTTCCCCGGGTTCATTCCATTTCTAGATGCTTCGCTTCTGTGCTGTGTTTTTTGTTGTCGTTCGTTTTTGCGGCAACAGTGAATTTGTCTGCAAATTTGCGTTTCTAATTTTTTTTTTTTCTTTTTTTGTTTTGTAAGCTTTAATTTTGTTAGTGGAGAAAAAGTGTACAGTTGTTGGTGGCGTTTTTTTTTTTTTTGTTGTTGTAATCAATGTAAGGATTAGATGATGATGATGATGATGAAGATACTAGAAGACATGAGAGTTTCTTTTTTTTGCTCATATTTTGTTTTGTTGTTGTTGTTTCATTTTTGTTTTATTTGCCTCTTCAGAATATTGTCGTATTTTTGTGTTTGACTTCTTTCTAAAATCTCTGTTGTTCTATTTACATTTTTTCTTTTTCTAGATTTTGGTAATTGTCCATTTTCCTCGTTTTGTTTTTCGTTTCCTTGTTTTTTTTTTTCTTTTAATTGTTTTTTTGTGTAGCACACGCAAACAGTTCAGGACTACAAAGTTTCTGTAGGTCTGTCTATTTATTTATTGCCAATTTTTTTTTTTACTTTATTGTTTTGCCAGTTTTTTTTTTTACTTTATTGTTGCTGTTATGTATAAGTGCATTTTTTTTTTTTGCCTAGATAAGTGTATAGAAAAAGTGGTGGCAGAAATTTGTGAGTTTTTTTTGGTTTTTAGTGATATAGTATGATTCTGTAATTTAAATGTCAAATTTTCTCCAGTTGAATAACGAAAGTATAGCAGCGTTTTCAGCCACTACTGTATGTTTTTGTATTTATACCGAAATTCGTTATCCTAATAACTTTGAAGAGGTTTTTTAATGGATAATGTTGCAATTTATTTAGTATATCTGATTCACATCATTGGTAATAAGGTTCTTCTGTAATAGCTGCTTATGTATGTTGATATGTGGATGAGAACTGCTTGAAATGGTAGTGTTAAATTTGCTATTATTGTAGTGGAATTCGTATAAGGAACTATAAACATTTTTTGCTTGTCGTCGTCAGTTGGTATCGGCAAAATTTTTTTTGCAGTCGGCATGTGTGGCTCAAAGTTCCATTTTTCTTTGTGTTACGTTAAGAGGGCGGTCAGTGTCATTTTTACATCTGGTTTTCTATCATCCAACTCTTTTATCGTCTATTGCCTAATTGATAGTACAGTGCTGTTGTTTCTTTTTGCCTCTCCTCTATGGTCTGCTCAGTTTTTTTTTTTTTTTTTTTTTTTTTTTTTTT